AAAGACTGTATTTTACAATATCCTCACACTGTTCTTGTGGGGGAGTTAGCCTAGAAGTCAAACACTGACAAACATTTTGCAGTTGATCCTCGTTTCTTGTCAACCACATCATTTAAATGCTAAAATTCCAATTCAACTGCAGAAAAAACAACCCCACATAATCAAGTCTCAAGGGTTTCATGTCACTGGTTCTGAGACAAACAAAATGCACAAACTCAAAGGAATCAAATTTTGTTGTCTTCAGAACAGATAACAGATTTAAATGTGTGTGAATTTATGCCTGAAATTGGTATGTATCATTTCATCTTCAGGTTTGTTAAGAAACTTTCCATACAGCTCTCTCAGGATACAAACCCAGAAAGAATGCTTCTTTTTCAATGGAGAAAAAGACAGACTTCGCTCACTCAATTTTTCACATCATATACATTATTAATAGATGTATATATACATATACAGACATATATATATAATATACTCTCTCCTAAAACTAGAAAACCTAACTGTTGCACTTCAGATGCTGTTTAAAGTCCAGCAGGGTAAAAATATGCAAATGTACATTTATATCTAAATACAGATTCCTAAATTATACATAGCAATTAACAGTTTCATATATGTGTGTGCATGTGTATATTATTTTTATATATAAAACCACATATATAGAAATATGGTTGGTTTATATGCATATACACACATCCCCTCTACATTAACAGCCTCCTGAGGCTCCATTCTGCATACCTTGAAAGCTTAGTCCGATTTACCATAAATTTTGAGCAGCACTAAATTAAGTTGGTGTATAAACCCATGCTGAATAAAGGTCCTAAGTATCTTGAATCAGATATACCCACATTATCACGGAAAAGGCTATGAACAGATGATCTGACACTGATACTGAAGAGAATTCAGCACAACCCTAAAAATAAAGTTGTGTACAGGAGGACTGCTTAAATATTTAACAGCTCACCACACAGAGTTGATATTTGCAGTCTAATACGACAGCCACAGAGAAAAACAAAACCTTATTTTCTCATCCTTATATACTGTTCAGTGCATACTCTTTTAAGCAGACACTTGGGTACAAAATTGTTACCTGGTAGGCCACTCCTTTAATAACCCAAGGAAACTTGAAAGTAGTGTGAGACTTCAATAAAATATTCTTTATAGTATAGTCTCCTGCTTGACTGCGATATGCAAATACACATTTCTCATAAAATCAAGAGTAAGCAGTGCTTAAAAAACACTTCAGAAAAAGGGAAAATCATGTGCCTGTAACAGACAGGAAGTTACTGTGGAATAATTACTGAACAGTTACCTTGTAACAGTCCCAGTATCACATAATTATTTTTAAAAGAGGGTCTCTGGCAGTCTGCTGAGTAACTGTGTATACTTGCAGGTTTAAGCTTAAAACAGAGATTCTGAGGACTAAATAACATACAAATTTATCTGCAAAGTGGAGAAGGTAGAGCCCACCACCTGATGAGGAAGAAAAAAAAAAATAAAAAAAAAAGGCAAAAACCACACATACAACAGAAAAACCCCAAGGAAAAAAAAAAAAAAAAAAAAGAAAAGAAACCCAAAGCCTATCTTACTTCCAGTTTTCCCTTTCATGAGCCACTTCCTTCCCAACAGCCTTGGAAAAGCAGACATCTGGGCTCTGAGAAACTGCAACTAGAAGAAAGTTCCTCATTCAAGCACACTGTAGAGAAGTAGCTAAATTATGCTCCCTTTTATGTAGTCAGGAAAATGTAACAAATTTAAAGTGTTAAAAAATGGTATGTCAGTACTAAATCAAATAAGTCTGACTCTTTGAGCATGAGCCAACACATTTAATTTTCTTCAGGCAATTGTTTGGCAATTGTGATTAAAATCAAGTTTATAGTAAACCTATGAAATTAATAAACTACTCAAGCACAAAAACATAAACAATACATGCAACAATCTTAACGTTTCCATTACTGCTAGCACAATTAGAAATGGTGAAACATTAAAAAGTATTTCTGAAGTCTGTGACCAAGTAACAAGTTTTGGCCTAGCTTTGAAAGCAAATATGGTAACATTAAACAAAAGGGCACACCTTGCTTCAGATCTCAATTTAATAAAGCAGGTAACCATTTCTTAAACCAAGAAAAATACAGAAATTAGAAATTAAGATGTATATTTCATACTTTTTTTTCAAAACACTTCAGTAGTTACTCTTAAGAAAAAATCCCCTATTTAGTGAAGTTCACATCGATGAGACTCTACAAACAGACATTAAGCCAAAGCTAACAATTTATTTAAAAATTAAATTCCCTACCTGAAATTATTTTACCTTGGTGAAAACAAAGCGGTAAAAGCCCAAGTTTTTCCCATTATAACCTTCCTGAATACTTTATCAGTTTTGGGGTTTGCTTTTATATCCTTTGCAAACACTATGATACTTTAATGCGGGTGTTTTCACACAGCAAATACTAGTAAAGTAAAACTTTATTTCAGTACACCACGATTGTTAAACACACAGAAATCAGAAAAGGATCAAGTCAGAGGAAGTCCCCCGGTAAGCCAGATGGGACTCGCGTGTTGCGCGAATTTTACTGGAGTCCCGGTGAGCTGTACCTAGCGATGCTACCGTTCCGGAGCAGCAGACCGGGCAGACGGGGCCACCTTTCCTCCCTGGCCCCCTCCCCTTCTTCGTCCCGCCGAGCTACCTGCAGCCACCCGCAGCGGCTGCCAACCAGAACGGACTCATCCCACTCCAGCCCTGCAGCCACCTGCCAGCTCCCGGGCCGGCACCCAGCGCCAGCGGCCCCGCCGACCTCGCTCCCCCGGCTTAGCCCCGGCCCCCGGGCAGGCAGGACAGAGACACTGCGGGGCCTGCCGGGCCACCTGCGTGGATGCAAGGCGTGCGGAGCGCGGCGCTGTGAATCCTGGGCTCTTGGGGCTGTTTTTCCTTGTTGCTGTTTGCCTTTTTTTTTTTTTTTTCTTTCAGTGGAAAGTTTCCTCTCCCAGCAGAGGCCGGGACAAGGCGCGAACTGCCCCAGGGCGCCGCGCTGCCACCAAAGCTGACAGGTTCCTGCCTCCCCCCTCCTTCCGCAGCATTAAAAAGCAGGCAGATAGATCCGGCTGGGGGTTGATTTTAATAACAGCTATTAGCACAGTTAACTGCATCCGCTGCCAACAGAGTAAAAGTTAAGCTCGCACAGAAGCATCCCGCACGGAGCGTCCTCAGCACCCGGGGGGGACGGCAGAGGCAAAGCACGGCCGGGTGAGGGAGCGGGGCCAGCCGCAGAGGAGGGGAGGGAGGCGCAGGAAAGTTGCCATCGGTCTCGTTAGCCCCGGCGCCGGGCGGCCAGGAAAGGAAAGTTCACAGCCACCACTAGCGGGGCCCGGCGGGAAGGGGCTCGACTGGAGGGCACTGCTTCTTACCTTCTGGTCGACGATGGAGCAAGCCATTTCCCGGACATGGGCAAGGCTGAAGTCCCCCGAGGAGTCCTGCAGCAGCAGTACCGGCTCCCGGCTCAGCCCGATCTGCAGATGGAAGGCGACGCCGCCGCCGGCAGTAGCCCCCGGCGGCGGCAGCGGGCTGGGAGGCCGGATCAGCGGAGGGGCGCTCATCGAAAACTTCCCTCCGGAGCCGCCGCCGGAGCCGAGGGGCCAGGGACGGAGAAAGAGAGGCGGCCACCGCGACGGAAAGTTCGCGACCGCCCCGGAGGCGCCGGGCGAGTCCCCCGGGGAAGTTTCAGGGAAGTCCTACCGAGCTCCTACCGGATGAAAATGGCGAGGGGGGGTGGCGGCGAAGGACCGGAGAGGATGCAGACAGGAAAAGGCGGCGAGAGAGGCGCTCAGGGCGAGTGGCAGCCCGGCCCAGCACCGCCGAGGTGGTGCCGCCGCCGCTCCGGCTGTTGGCGCTGTGCGCGGCGCGGGGGCGGGACGGACCGCGCCCTCCGCCGGGACGGGCCCGACGCCCAGCTGGGACGGGCCGCGCCGCTCCGCCACCACACGGCGGCCGGGTCCCGACAGGCGGCAAGCGCTGAACTCAGTGCTGCGGGCCCCTGGTGGCTGGTGCCCCGGCGGCGAGGCTGCGCCGCAGCCGTCACCGGTCTGCCCATCCGGGCCAGTCCGTGAGTTGTGGTGCAGGGGAGAGTACCCGCTCACCTCTCGCTGGGCAGTACCTCAAAGCCGCCTGCATCCCCTCCCGGTCTTCTGCTCCCGCCTTCCCGGGCCGCAGGTGGACACAGAGGCTGAGGAGAGCTCTACTTGTTCGCTGGCAGGCAGCGCGGTGGCCTCTCCCGGGCAGGGTGGAGGGCAGCTGCCTCCGGGGACGGAAAGAAACGTTAGAGAAGCAGGAGCTGCGGCCTGGCACCGGCTCTTCCGCCTGGCCTCGGCCAGCAGCCCCGGTCTGCACGGAGCCGCCTGCGCCCGCAGCCCCCGTGGGTGCTGGGAAAAGGAGGAAAGCACAACTTGCACCCCTTTCTTCCCTAAACCAGCTTCCAGTTTCGGGTATGGTCCTTACTAAGGAGAAGCTTCCTGCCACCTAAACCCAGGATGAGTTACTCTTCCCACCATCAGAATCAGCGCAAACCCCATTCGTTTGCACAAGCAGCACCAATGGCAGACAACGTCTAGACTAAATCCATTCCTAATCTCCATTTGGAGATCTATGAAGGCACTGGAGCTGTAAATATTCCAGGTACCAACAGAGAAATTTTTAAGCTGGATATGTAACACCTGTAAGGATGGCAGTATTAAATGTATGTTTGCAAGTACAGTGGTTGATCAAATTTATGACCTGTTTCCTTAAAAACTGCTTTTTTGACCAAATGTACAGCTGCAGCATTGTTTCATTTTGATCAGCTGTCTTATTAGGACCCATTTTATTGTTGTCAGCTTGTTTCCCACCAGCGATTTGTACGCACACAGCTTACTGTCTGTATAATTTTGAATGTTCTTTGGTGAATTTTATTTTGAAATTGTTGCGTTTTAATCTGTGTCTTTTTAATCTCTGAAAATGTGTCTTCTCCCACTTAGACTTTTTCTTTTCGCATGAAGAGTAATAATTACTCTCATCAATATATTCTGGCTTTGCTGTTGAAAATTATATTTAATTTTGTTGTTGTCTGCAGTATTTCCTTAGGACTAAATCAGTTTCAGTATAGTAGTGTACCCTGGTTATACAGTTTAGTGTTGTGATGGGCAGTTCCTAACAGATCCCCATATACTAGATGTTTTGGTGCTTGGATATTTTGGAGCATGTATTTGGAGTTTATACCTCTACGTATATGCTAAGGTAATGCTGAGGCATTATAACTACTGAAAGCTTCCCAGCTGTTCTATACAGGAGTCTGTAGGAGAGCACTATGCTCCATGTGTGAACCTGTAGCAGTAAGGGTGTTTGAGGTCCACGTGCCATCCCTGAATGCTTGTTGTAAGTTAAAATGCAAGGCCAGAGCCACAGTGTGTAGTAGTGTAGCAGTGAGTGCTGTAGTCCCTACTTTTCCCCTGTTGAAAACAGCATACTAGAAGATGCTGCGGCCTTGCTTCATCATTCAGGTGATCCTTGAATTTAGTAGCGTGTCATAAGTGTAATTGACTACTCGGAGTGCTTCTTAAGATCAATGTGGCAAAAGCAGATGTGGCTCTGATGGCAATAGGGGTGGTGAGTTGTCCCCCTGTCTCCTGCCCTCACCATATTTAGTTATAGGGTCACATAGTTGACTCTTTCACAAGATGAGTCACATAATGACATTTCAAAGGAAAGAGTGGAAAAATGACAGCTGTATATGACCTTAGCTACTATACACTGTGTTACAGCTCTTTTGCAATTCTTAAAATAACCAAAGAGAGGTAGCAGTGGCAATGCCAGGAATTACATACCCTTGGTTTTCTCATCTATGTGAAATCTAGTCATAGAGCTCATAGGCTGTGACTCACCCACAGATTCACATCCTCTGTGCAGACAAGGCACAAAAGTTCTGAAGTTTTTCTTCAAAAAGAAAGATTACAGAATGTTTATGAAATTGAAGGTTGCTGAATTGTTAGTGTATTGCCCATGTTGAATACACCTTTGTAAATGGAATAGATGAAGGCAGGACTTCACTGCTGTGTCAGCCAGTCATGTACAAATGCTATTTATAAAAGGATTCAGTGAAATCACATGGTATGATCTTGAGTACAACCTGGCCTGTTGTACTGACCAAAATGTCATCTATTTCATGATGCTTCCAGCTGGGAGAATTATTGCACTGATGCCAGGGAGGGGAAAAGACCACAGCAGTCTGTTCTCTTCCCTGTGACCTGGTAGAGTGTGCATGTGCCTGGTTTAGCCAATCTGTAAATGCACAGTTGGAAAAACCACTGGAAGTTTAAGTTTCACTGCACCTGTACAGATAGTTAAGCAGCACTTGACCTGCCAAATGAACTAGCAGGTGAAAAAATGAGTTTGCTGCTAATGACTACACAGTTTATGCATCTAGCTATATACAGGAAGAGGACAGTCAGCAGAGGATGTCACTGCAGCATCACACTGTAAGAACCTCTCCCAGTTGCCCCCAAAGCACAGTCGCTGTAATGTTGCTTCTAATTACTCTCTATTACTACAGTATAAGGGTGAATATTCATCTCTGTATATTCTCATGGAGTGTATACTTGACCCTCCACTTAGATGCCCTTCTGGAACTGTTATCTTTCTTCTTTTCTTTCAGCTGACCAAATTGTCTAGATGGAATTCTGTTCTGTTTTTGCATCCTATCACTAAAAAATTTGTTTCCCTCATCTCATACATTCCTGAATCACACACACCTCTATGGCTTACTGCTTTGATCAGGCATCCCGATGCCGTTTGTTCAAACAGTCCATCTTCATGGCATATTGACTTTCATTCAGAGCGCAGTGCATTATAAGCTGCATATCTCTTCCTGGTACGTAATTATTTTGTTCCTATTTTTGTATATCTGAAGTTGACTATTCCTGCACAAGCATACTACATTGCATATATCTGTACAGAAGCCTGTCCTGTTTTTCCAATTTGCCAAGATCATTTGAATTTGAATCAGAAGTGCTTCCATGGCATTTGCAGTCTGTATCCATTCTATGTAATCCACAAGTTTAAAAAGTGTAGACATTGTTCAAGTTATTTGTAAAGGACTGAATAAAGTACAAACTCCCATGGAATTCTATCATACCCATGCTCTTTGGGTGTCATTACCCAGCTAGTTTTGTGTCCACTTTATAATATATTCTTCCTGGCCTGATTTGCTGTTTTCTCAGAAATGGTTTATGAGACTGTCAAAAACCTCATCAGTTAAAATACATCTCACCTATTGCTTATGCTCTGTAATAGGAGGCAATTTTATTAGTTTGGCATGATTTGTCTTTTAACAACAAATCAGTGCTGATTTGATCTGATACTGATTTCACTGTTGTCTTAATTTTTTTTATTGTTCTAGGCTACTTTCACACATCAGTAATGCCCTAAATATGTTTTTTCTACTTTGAATCTTCCAGTCTCACCAGTCTGCTAATCTTCAAAGGTAAGTATTTATCATTTTGTTATAGCTTTAGTGAGATATTTAAATAACCTGATACTCTAGGTTTATCAGACACTATGAAAAATTACCTATATACTCTATGACTTCTTTTCCCCCTACTGTGTTTATTTATTTCATTGTTATTACCAACATTATTGTGCTCTCCACCTGTTTGCAAAAAAGGCATTATGGATGATAGCATTATCCAATATATGTTTCTGATTGCAGTGAATCAATATTTCCGGAAGTTACTTTTCATTGTGTTATGATCTGCAAAATGCAGATAATCTATTATGTATTCCAGCTAACAAACCTGAGCAGAAACCTCAAATTTTACAAGGAGCTCTTGAGTCTAGATGTAGTTTACATATTCTTTATGTAGACTTAGCATTGAACTTTCAGCTAAACCTGTTTGTGTTAAGAATATGTGAACTTTTGTTGTTCCTACAGTTGAATGCAGACTATGGGATTTGCATTCTTACTTAGCAGCAAAACGTGTTATTAAAGATGGGTCTACAAAAGTGAAACCATTTTTTCTTTCTGCTGCTTTCAGATGTTTAAATGATGTTTTAAGTGGACTGTATGCTCCCAGAACTCCTCTCCTGAAGCAGACACTGTTGGGGAGGAAATTCTTTGGTTCAAAGCAGAACACTGGAAGAAAAATAAGAAGAAAGAAAAAAAGACTGTTAAATACAATGGAGTGAAATTTGGGAAGAAATGTTCAGACTGTAATGGAAAGTATGACACAATAGTTGGAAATGTAAATATCACTGGATCTGGGATTGATACTGTGTTAGGGACTGAACTGGTGAGTTAAATGGAGCTGATACCTGAAATACTGGCAAAATGTTTTGCAGACATGATCCTGGATATTTATTTGGAGAGAAGAAGCAGATGTTAACTGTAGGACTGGTTAGAGGTATTCAGATGAGCTACTTATTTCCACAAGAAAATTTTAACATTTTAAGAACTAAATGATTTATGTAAACATTGTCAGTGAATCTCCTAATTTTTGTTTGTTGTTTTGGTTTTGTTATTTAAAAAGAAAATAAATCTCCAATTGTTGAAACTTCCTCAGCAGTTATAAAAGGAAAGGTTTGAAATATTATCTTCCATGACTTTCTGCTAAATGTTTTGAATAATTAGGACAAAGCATTTAAGAACATTAGGCTTAAAAATCCAAAACTGAAGTTTATAAATATGAGATAACTCCATGTATTTCTTTCTTTTTTTTTTTTTTCAGTAAATGGATTACAAAAAAGGTCTGGATTTTTTTTTTTTTTTTAATATATTGGGAATGGAAGTTGAAATCTGATTTAGACTGGGAAAACTGCTTTCTGCCTATGTTAGCCTGTCTCTGGGTAAACTGACCACGGATATACAGGGGGATTAACATTAAAATAGGATCTGAAAGACTGCAGTATAAAGCCCCCTTGGGTCAGAAAAGAGTATGTTCTTTTAATTGAGCAAAAACTGTGGTCATTTGCTAGGAAGAGGGTTTTTGGTGGGTTGTTGGTTTTTTTTTTTCCTCTGTGCCTGAAACTGACCTCACTATACTTGAAAAATTCTGGGATAGGACAGGCTCCATTTATCCCAAAGTATGCTTTGAGGATGTTTGTTATGGCTTGATGATAGAATTACTGATGTATTCAGATAAGCATGAGGATCTTGGCATTGTTTGTGCATGTTTGTGCATATTTGTGCGGATTGTCCTCACCAGTTCCCTGGTTCTTATCAGCATGGTACTTATGGAACAAGTCAGTCGTTGCTGCTTAAAACTCCAGTCTGAGAGACACGCTTCCCATTCTGAAGATACTGTAAATGAGATAGTCAGTGTATCTTAAATGAAAACACAGCAGAGATTTTATTCAGAAATTTCTTAATGCTGCTTCTTAGATGATTTCTTAAGTAGTCTTCTGAATGTCACTGTCATACAATTCTACAGAATTCTGGGCTGCAGTGACCTGAAATTTCTGGGTCGGAGAGTCAAACTTGTGATAGTATATAACAGCTGTTTCCTCTTCAGAAACAATTACATGATTTTCACCATTTAGCTGGGGATAATTTTCAGCAAGCAGCCAGTGGGTTTGTTGCATTTTGTTAATTTTCTTGAAACTATATTGGTATTTCAGTTAGTAAAATTTGTACACTACTGAAAACCAGTTATACTGTATTTTAGTTCAATGTTTAGTGTTTAGTGGTTTTTGTTATATCAAAGTTCTTCAAGTACTGTTCACTTATTAATACATACAAGCATAACCAATTTACAAACTTTGTTCTTTTACACATCAGGAACCTGTTATATTGTTACTTAACACTAACGTTTTTGTGGCTGCTGTCCAGGCCTCATTGCCACTGAAATTCTTTGGCAGTTCAAAAATAATCCAGATCCTGGGAATGAGAGTGCTGCCCATGCAGAATCAGATATGTATGTTGTAATTTTGCATGATTTTGACCTCTAGCAACGGGTGTCATACTATTTCTGTGAGCAGATACAGCTTGAAGAAAAGAGATATAAGCTGTTAACTGTCCATCAACAGTTTCAGCTTATCATCCAAAGCTTATGGAGTTAAAGTAGACAACACACAATGCGCCCAAGGGTAAATAAGGGTAGCGGAGTCTTATTACTCTTCTAAGCAATGCCTGATAATACGGATACAGTTTTACAGCCAGGTTAAAAATTGAGCTAGAAGTTTATCTAGGAGCTAGATATTTCTGAAATGACTACTGACTTACTGACTACTGTAAAAAGATGTTAGCTGAGCTTGTCAGACTAGTTAGCCCCACTACTTTATACCATACTTTTATGTGGTTTAATATTTGTATCCACCAAATTTGGTGTGCAATATAATTTGAATAAATTGAATGGTGGTTAACCTAAATGATTTAATGATTACTGCATGACTACTAAAACCACATACATTCCCAGGTAATATATGGGTGGGATTATTGAGACAATAGGTGGAAAGAAAACTGATAAACGCTGCTCCTCTATTCTTTTGTGTGCTTCCTTACTTGTAATGATTTAATGAGTTGAGACAGCCCATAGGAACAAGGCGTCAATAGATTTCTTCCCCAAATTGGCATTGATCTTTTAATGTTTATAGGAGTTGGTTGCTGCTGCTGCTTTGGTTTCCCTGCATGAAACTGAAAAGCTAGAGCTAAGAATACCATTAAGGCGGAACCTAGTATTTTACACAGAAGGGAAGAAGATGAAGGAATAGAATGGTGCAGGGGATCCCAAGGAACCTGTGTGAGGAAGACAAAAATGGAAAGAGGGAAGATTCACAGGGAGGGAATTTATTGCAAGGAGTACAATTTGGCATCACAATTTCTTACTTGAAAATGTTCTGATTTTAAAAATTTAGCAAAACAGCAGACTGGGTTTTAAGATAATTAGAACTATATTTGCCTTTCATTTACAGTCACTGTCTTGAAATCTTTCTCTTATCATAACTTTTCATTTCTTAATTAAAATTAAGAAACATTTCATTTCATTTTCCTGTGCAACAAATAAAAGACTAGTAAACCATGTAATCACATACTACATACTATATAAACACTAAAAGTTGATCCATACAAGTCTCATAAATAACTTAATAAAAGTTCACTCATACCAATTGAATCGTATACTTATTTGGTATAACCTTGTAAAACTAAATACACACATGAAACAAGCCCTCTGTTCCTGTGCCTTACTCCAAGATTATTATCAAAAATAAAGGATTTTTTTTTTAGAAAATAAAAGATTACATTAAAAAAGGAAAGTTGATAACAAACTTACAGAAATAAGGCACATTTTTTCATCTTTCCCTTTGGAGTCTTTCAAAGAAAGATGAACAGAGAAGTTCCAGTCATCCACACACAAGTGGATGATTTTTTGAAAGTTGTGGATTTTATACTACACATTATCAGCTTCTACCAGAAATTATCAGGCTCACATTCTGGGTCTGTATTGTGAAAACATGACTGAAATGTGTTTTATGGAGTTCAGTAAGGCAAATCATTTCTTATTTGTCAATAACTTATCAAGAACTTTCTGCTAACTCTAGAAGCAGGAGAAAAAAACAGCTTAAGATGGTCTTTGCAAGTATCAGGCCCTTGGATGTGTGTATCTTTCTAACCACCTATAAGCTGTTTTGTCTTTTAAATAAAAATGAAAAAAAAAAATCCAAGTATGTTGTATTGTGTAATTATTCCAGTCCTCTAATTGATTTTGCATAGGTAGCAGTCCTAGTAAAGAACTTCACTGGATTCTTTGTGAGCACAGGGATCCAGTTGTACACTTGGAACATGCTTTGAGGATCACATCTCCTAGAGGAGGAAGCATAAAAAAGAGCCGGTAGAGCCCAGAGAATTTTCTGTACAACCTTAAACTGAAACAGAACAAAGAACTTAATCTGAATTTATGATTCTCAGAGGTGCTTTTTAGTTGTCCAAATCAAGAGCAGTCTATGTTTCAAGAAGTATTTTAAAGTGGCTGGACCTTGTTCACACAGATACAGTACAGTGTCCTGGGAGCAGGGGGAGGAAGAAGTAGGGGAGTGAGCAATCGGCTGCATGGTTCTGAGTTACCAGCTGGGCTTAAACCATGCCATGCTGGAAAAGCAACTAGTATGATCAGGTCCTGAGATGGCATTGGACAGCTGGAGCATGGATTGATAAGTGTCATGCACAGCCATGTACCTCATGTCATGTCCCTCATACCTCTGGTGTTCACTTTTGACCAGTTCCAGCTGTGCACTTCATTTTCCCTTAATAGCAATAGCATTTCAGAATGGGCAATAGGACTATCTGCAGCTGTGCACCAGGGAGACATAGAGAAAAGCAGAATAAGACTGGCCATTAGTAGGACATAAAATACATTCTGAGCTACAGAGATGCCATTGCCTGCACCAACCCCCGTCTGTCCATTTGGTTTTGAGATAGGTACTTGGCCTTAAATATAAACTTGCATAGAATCTGTTCTTTCTGCCTAGAGCTAATGAAGTCAAAGATACTATTTTGAATATGATGTTTATCCTCAAGGGGAAATTTGCTCTGTATCAGTTCTCTGGTATGACGGTGACTGGAGCAACTCCAATCTTCTTATGGAGGCTTGGTCAATAAAGCAAAGAATAGGCTTTTGGTGGCATTCTGTGTGGTACCAGGACAGGTATGTATACAAAGAACAGTGACAAAGCTTTAGCTCCTGATACAGGCTGCACTGCTTTTTCTCTCAGTAAGTGTCCCCTTGAGTCTGTCAGTTTCCTTTCTGTAGGCTGCAGAGGCTGGAAATTAGTGTGTGGACAATCAGAAAATCTGGTCTTCAGGACCAGTGTCACTACACCTTGATAGTTTCCACATAGCTGTGTAGGAAGGCATTAGAGATGAAGAAAAGGTTGCTAAATATTTCACCGTAGGATCTCAAATTTATTTTGTTAAATTTTTAACCTGATTCTGCATAACTTTTGTTTAAACAGTTCTTTAGTCAATTAAAAATTAAAAAGTTTAAAAGGTGATAAGGCATCTGAATCAACAAGTGTCAATCTGTAAATATATATCATTAAACCAAAACCAATGGTGGAATGCTCTGCTTGCAGAGGAATGATGCTGTGGTGCATAGGGTTCAGTTGCACTAGTACAAGAAAATCTTATTTCTTAAAGATCATTTGTTTCAAAGAGCAAAATGTAGGCAACTTTGCAGCATAAAGCACAAAGAAGGACTTAGATTTTTCCTGTATTACTGATCAAGACTAATGAGGGTCTTCAGTAACCTTTGTGATGTTAGGGTTAGTTTTCAGGCTTTATGAAAGAAACACACAATACAGTTTCAGGAAGCTGATCCAAAACTTCTGAAGAAAAAACACTTCCTACTTCAGTTTAATTCAGCAACTGCTGAATTGTTTAAATTGTGCATCTGCAAAAGGATTCCTGCTTTCAGAAGGACTGTAAGTGGAACAATCTGAATATAGGTATTCAAGCTTCTCTGTGATGTGGGCAGAAAACATACCTTTGTGATTTAATCCACTTTATTTTTAATGCTGCTTGTC